ATACAACTTTTACTTCAAATGCTGGTATGTATTTACATCGTGTTTTATTTAATAAGTTGTATGATAATGACTGTTCAGATAAATTGTTCTTGTTAAGATAAACTAGCAAACTCGCGAAAACTCTAATTTTATGCCGTCTTTCAACGCAGTCACTACAATTTGAGGATATAAAAAGGCATTTTACAGTTTGCTGATTCTATGTGATAGATACTAGGTGCATTAATGGCATAATGCTGCATGTTTTCACAATTTTTCATTCGTGACGTAGTCACATTAATCGCAAAATAGTCAACAATTAAGTGAATTAATGAACAAAATATTAACACGATCGCTGGTTGTATCTAACAAGAAAAATTCCTTTGCGACCGTATATTGTTATTAATATTACTATCATTACTATTAGTACTACTACTATTTGTGAACATACTCGCCGTTAGTATAAGGAACTTTGAATGGTCGTTTTTTTGTATGAATAAAAAAACATCTAATCAGTTTCATGATTTTTCAGAAATGAACTCATCTCTATGGGATAATCGACTTGCAATGGTAGCAAATGAAGAGATAACGACGATTCGTTCAGAAAGAGGAACGGTAGCGTTTAACCTATTGACAGTGCTCATTTGACTGATATGTCTACACTACTTTCGAGTGCTGAGTGATTATTGCTTATCTTATCTGAGCTATTTGCACTGCTCTCATACGTCACTCCTCGACGCAATCAAACCTTACGTGCCATCAAATTTGCGGTATAAATTCTCGAGCCGCGATCACCGTTCATCTCAAGACCATTCCTATTTATTATCCAACTCGTTAAGACGATATGCAAGTTCATTTTCGGTATCTCACTGCGGAAGGTTCGCCCCAGTGTTCTTTTATTCCGTGGTACATTTCACCTCCGGAACATTTTGCATCTAACATAACTGGGTGCAATATTCATTTGTTCGTGCCCATATGCAGGTTACTGAACACCAATTTCATGAATGGCTCTCTCTAACTTGTACGTAAGAAATGATGATGCAGGGTACAGGTTTACTTCTTTCATTTGGAAAAAAATTGATTATGACCACTCAATCCCTGTATGAACAAGTAAATGACCAAGGATTCGCAAGGATAACCTGACGACACCCAAAATTTGAATGAAACAAATAACTGATGTAACCTGTTTTATGAGATGGTGGATGGCAATTATTTTGAAAGAGGCGACATTTTTTGAAGGGCATAATATTAATGAAGACAAAATGGCGAGGCTTTCAGGGGCGAACCTTTCGTATCTGGAAACAGAACTGATAATAGGTAACATGCAGTGGATGTTCTCATCACCAATAGTTTTTAATTATGACGTCGAAGTTATTACCTATGACTACTAGAAGAATATTTATCAATTCAGTCACAACAGTCAACATTGCAGTGCTAACTGATGCGCATTTGAAGATATATTTGCGGCCGCAGTTGACGGTCCAAAATGAGGGTGTATTCACAGATGTTGCAAAGTGAACCAGAACCGTTTAGTCCAACCCGGCGAATCTTGGTCCGGCCTATCTGAGCGTTTCCGTATTCTCCATTTTTATCGAAAAGCGTAGTCAAGAGTGCATTGTCATTGAATCACGTTTTCGCTCTCCTTTCACTTTGCTCCCCGACGGAGTTTCCTACCCTCACAGGCCAAAAAGTTGCTCTCCAACGAATACCAGTTGCGGAGTGTCAGTCTACCTTATTGTCATCCTTTTTACCCGTAAACGAATTCACCAAGAGACTATCAATTATATCATCTTACCTAACGCGTGCATTAATTATTTGTTTGAGATCATTTAAGACTCGACTCAATCATTAAAACTCTAATTTTATGCCGCCTTTCAAGGTAATCACTACAATTTGAGGATATAAAAAGGTATTTTACAGTTTGCTGATTCTATATGATAGATACTACGTGCATTAATGGCATAATATCATTTTACCCATCGCGTGCATTAATCATTTGTTTGAGATCATTTAAGACTTTACTCACAAACACTTACCATGAAATCTATTTTATTGTATTCCGCAACTGTTCAAAGAAATTACCTTCGAGATCATCATCGGATGGTCGTGGTGCCGTATATTTCGATATTACAGAGAGGCCCCGTGGGGATACCTTTGTGATGAGTTCTGATAAATCATGCCCTTCGTGGGTGAGAATAATTTTCAGTCTCCGCAGTTTTTCGTTTTATCTTGGGAAATATAATTTGTTAGAGTTTTTTGAGCAGTTTCTCGAGTATGGCAACGCAAACTACTTTAAGCCGACTTTTGGGGCGATAAAGCCTTGGGAGAAAGACGAAGACGCATCTTAAGAGGACATAAAACCTGATCTTAGAGTAGTCAGTGCAAATGAATAAATTGATGTGCGGTCAAATGTGAATTGGAAAGACTGGTTTACAAACTCAGATTTGACTTTGTATCGTCAATGTTATTGGTCCAACATTTGTTCCACTCTTTTTTCGTCATTTCTGTCATACTCGTAAGGGAGACCTATAACCACTGGTGCCCAACTTTGAGAAAACTAACTCAGTTCCGGCTTCGCAGTTCTGAAACTTCAGCACCAGCTCCATCTCTGATTCCACATTCTTTGAATTTTCAGCAGCGGCTACTTCTTTAGCTCCGAAATACGCTTCGCTTCGGTTCCGAAAAATTTGTCATTCAGATCTTAGAATGTTGCTGCGAAATTTTTTTGATTGAGCCATAAAATTCTTTTTGATTCTACATACAACGACATGCAGCATCTGTTATGATAAATAAATAAATGAGTTGTAATACTGCAATCTTTTTAATCTGCGTTTTACGAGAAGACCCGTGGAGGAGATTCTCCGAGAACAGGGCCGTGCGAAAGATTCCCGTGCGACTTGTCGTGATGATTCATACCCCCGCAGAGGGGATTGGCCTATGTTCCGAATGCTTCTGTAGCGATATTAGCAATTTTTTACACTAAACGTATGCGATCCGTTCGTTGATCAGTTGCTACTTCAGTCGTTCACTTTTGGTTTTTTGGCCCATGTTTACTGCAGCCTCATGAATTCCAAACTCTGAAATTATTATTTCGACTGATCTCATATGACTGCTGTCAATCTTTGGGATGATTTTTTACTATGCGGGTTCCTGTCTGTGATAGACGTACATTCATCGGATAGGCAAGCGATAAGTACACTGTATCTTTCAAGTGTATCCATTATCAAAACTTGACTATGCGATGTTGAGAAGATTCTAACATTCACCAGTTCTTTGCTAATGAAATTTCTTCTCAGTTCAGTGAGTGAACACTTAGCTCGTCTTTCGATCTACGCTATATCGTGGCGGTTATTATGGCCATACAGAACTGAGAGTGTGTAGCCGTAGATTTGATTGATCAACTGCTCATAAATGGAATACAAGAATTTGAAGAATAAAAGAACTTGAATCACAGATTGTGAACGATGGTGAATGGCTGAATGAAGTCGCTATTGTCAAGGATGTCGCTAATCCGTCCTCATCACTCAAGATTTATATCTCGAAATCACTCTCTTCTCGCTTCGATCATTACGTTGCTCAAATCATGGACACTTCATCAAGCATGTTAGTTAATGACACTATATGAATGCGGAAATCTTTTTTTCAGAAACAGGTCACGTGGCGTTCTATTTGCCAACAAAATTGAGAGTAATTATTCGTACGCATCTATTTGCGTGACCGGACAATCTGCCTGACAGTTTGCCTAACGGACAGTTTGCCTAATGACAGTTTCCTTAATGACAGTTTGCCAAACGGACAGTTCGCCTAACGGGCATGTCATATTGTCAGACGCAATCGTTCAGAACATGTTCGGAATGTTCATCTCGTGGCTATTATTAGAACATCTCTACATATCGAAGTTGGTGATTTTTATGGCATCAATCAAAGCCAAGTTTTGACCAATGAAGTTACCAAGGACAACAGTTCGCCTGACAGTTTACCTAACGGACAGTCTGCCTAACGTACCTAACAGAATAGGTTATCTTTATCACCCGTGATGGACAGTTTGCTTCAGCAGTCTCCTTCAAGGAACTATGTTTAGATGCATACACATCACATTTCCCATAACAATAAAAGATGATATTTATTACTAATTATACATGTCTGAATACATGAAATTAGGTAAAATGCTGATGATGGATATGTTCATAACAGTAACAACGTATGATAACTAACAACACCTATAATAATAACAAAAATAGCAATAAAATAATCGGAAAAGCAGAAAAATGGTAATAACAACAGTAAAAACAATAAAAGTAATAACAATAATAACGATAATATTGACAGCAATAGCAGTAATGACAATAACAGTATCAATGACAATATTAAAGGGAGCAACAATGAGCGATCAGAATCACCAAATTCGATACGTAGAGGTGTTCTGATAATAGCCACGAGATGAACATTCCCGTTGGGCAAACTGTCTTTAGGCAAACTGTCCTTAGGCAGATTGTCCGGATATCATCTATTTGTATATGTATCCTATTTTAGTGGTTTTGTAAAAAAAACATTATGGATGTAAGAAAAGGTAGTAAATGTTATCAACAGACCGTTTGCTTGTCGGAAATGAAGCAGTGTAATTTGCAGTGAACAAACAGAAAAAGAAATGAATAATGAAACACTTATCACATTACAACCAGATTCGAACGTGATAAGCATACATGGCCTATATGCTGGGCATCAGTACAAGTTCGTGCTTATTCTCATCGTATTCTTACCCATTTTTTGACTTTTTCATAAGTTCTCTTACAGGGAAAGTAGAGTAGAATATATGATTGCTTCTCATTTAAATTCCGTTTTTTATCTCTTCTTTCTTTTCATCATCGTACCTCAGTTGAAATTTGGCTCAAATGTTTTTTGAATGAGCTCCCGTTTAATCTCGAACTGTTTCTGAAGTTATTCTATAAGTCTATAACCAAGCACTCACTCGATCTTATTGATTCGATTTTATTTTATCAAGAAAAATAGCAACTACACTAACAATGCATTGTTCAAGTCTAACACTTATTGGAAAACGCGATGTGCAACAGTCAGAGATTATCACTGAACAAACGTTTATCATGGACCCGGTTGCGCCAGATTTTAACTCGGGCAATGCTACAATAATGTCATCAGCAAACAACATAACCCTTCGTTCATTAAAACCTGAAAAAGCTATTCAAGTAAAATGTTATCCCACTTCAGTCCAGTGCAAGAAGCCATCAATTTTTGCATTTGTTTTGCTTTCTCGATGTTTCCTGTGCATTTCAGATGCAAACACATGAATGAAGGAAATGAATTAGATCGTTCCAGGATACTTTTCACGTATCTTACGTTCAACTCGATCCGCTCAAGTACTTTCCAAATCTCAATGTTCACGATATTACTGACCAACGATTCATAGAAATCTATTTGGGTAATTTGAAACCAGGTCGCGATTACAACGTTTCAATCACATCGCTCATTGCTGGCATTGAAAGCAAACCATGGACGGGTCTTCTAACAACAAGTAAACTATTTTAACTCTCAGTTGGTGATCTGTTCATATTTATTCGCTTTTAATTTACAATTTTTGTCAAAATTATTTAGTTACTTCCTTTAACTTATATGAATCATGTTTTAAGTCATGACAAATCTGTCTGCTGTACTGTTCGTATTTGTCTTGTTGTTTTTGGAATGAGACTGTTGATTTGAATTAGATATACTCATCAATCGGGTCTAGTATTCGACTGGGAGATAGTAATTGTCCTCGAAGAGCTGATTGAACATGAAAATTATTGGTATTGAAGTATAGCTGATTGAACGTGAAATTATATGTTCATGCATATAATTTCATGCAGCGTTCACATCTCATTTGTTTTTTCATCGATTTTCAGCTGTTTAAGAAGTTAATTATAATATTATTCATCGTTTTGATGAAAAGAAGATGTTGTGAGATTGCTTTTTGTTGTTGAGATGGGCAAGTGTTCTTTTATTCGAAAAGAGTATTTCAAAGAATCGCTAAGTTTCATTCTAAATTCAGAGCCACTTCCACCGGAAAATTTAACTGTGACGGAAGTGAATATTAATGGGGCGAGTTGCGTGAAGATAACTTGGAACGCATCTCGTAAATCAGGTGTTGATCATTTCGCGATTAGTTATGGCCCTCAAGATGTGGATGCTCCAACGAATAAGGTAGACGGAATTTCAATAAAATTGTTGATAAATTGCTTTATTGAATTGCAATTGATGCATTTTTAAATCTACAGTCCTTCAGGATAAACTTCATCAATCACGTACGCAGTTTGAGATCGAAACTCTTAAAATTTGTGAACTAGTTCTGTAATTGAAAGGTGCAATTTTCTTTTGCTGGAAACGCTGACTCACCAGAAACTGAGATCAGTTGTTCTATGCGAAATGGATAATATCATCACATTTTTCAGATAACCGTTCAATCGTCTCAGACAAACGTAGATTTGTGCACACATCTGCATTCTGGTTTGACGTATAAATTTTCGATTGTTGCTTATCGGCATAACCAACGGTCACAATCAACTGTACTCTACTATACGCTCAGACCAAAAGCACCTCAAAATTTAGGAATTTTAGTGGACTTTGATAAGCGAAAATTTAGGTGCGTTCCACTGGAAATTACTGTTGAAATTATTTTATAAAGAAGTTACTTGTTGATTTGAAATGGCTGAGGATGATCATTTATCAAGAGCCTATTGTTTGATAATGAGAGAAATAATAAGAAGTCGAAATAGCAGCAGATTTGTTGAAGATTAACAATGGATGTTACGATGAGCAAGATAGATGAATGTGAAGTGAATGTTGTTACAGAGGGCTTGAAGAGCATCACGAAGAAAGTCGCTATTGAGCGCCATCATAACTTTATCAACACTACTGCGTCACGACAGTTCGTTGTTTCATTTTTACAAACAATTACGAACTTGCGATATAACACATTCTAAACGGTGTTCGTTTTATAACAGCGGGTGATTGATTGGTTGATTTGAGCAAATCACTATAAAGAAGTGTTCTGAAAAGTGTACAAACTGACTGAGTAGGAACTGAGTAAGAATTCACTGGCTCGATTAATTTTAAGCGAATTCGAGTTGGTAGTGTGAGGAAGTGATTACTAACTATAAAATTATTTTGATCAGATTCATTGTTCTGTTGTATGACACCATGTCCCATTGATAGATGTTGGGCATCATCAGTCTTTCTAGTGATATTTCTTGAACAAAATGGGATGGAACAACATTTTTGCAATCTTAGAACTAGGAGTAATTCTGTGGTGCATTAATACATATTTGTTGTAGTTATGTAATCCAGAAATGGCATTCGACTTCGGAATGTTTCGCAGATATTTACAACAGAGATGAAATCTTTTCAGATGTTCGTTCTTGATTGATTTGCACCCAGGAAGACGTTATGAGATCTCTGCGGTAACGATTAGTGGTGGCGTTAAGAGCAAGAAAGCTTCGAATAATTTTGCTTTACCGCCAGCATTTGATATGAGATTATTTGGCCTTAATCTACGAGTAGGTATTTCAGCTCTTGTTTTTGCAATATTCCCATTTTGTGATTATTTAAAAATCTGAAGAGCGAAGGAACGATATTGTCAAATTTTATCGATTTCTCGTTCTATAATTTGTTGATTGCATCTGAGTTGATTTCTAGGAAGAAAATGGGGATGTGAAACTGGAATGGCCAGAAGATGAGATGAGACGAAGAAGATTGAATGATATCTGGCGGAATTTAGTTGGTAACGATAGTAGTTTGCATATGCGGGTAGATCCGTTGAGTGCAAGCGCAATCAGTGAACAGTCGAAGCAGTTCGAAAGTAAACCGAGTGATGATGAACCTATAGTGATACGTAACTTGAGAAAAGGCTCTTGTTATAAGGTTGGCTGCTGATTGGTCGATTGACTGAAAGTGTATGATATTAAATTCTTAAATGAGAATTAATTTAAGATTCAAATCTATACGGTCACGAAATCGGGCATTGTTTCATCGGAACGCTTTGAAGAGTTGTTCCGCATGAGTGCGCCAGCCGTGAATGTGACCAGAGAAGAGATCTTGAAAACGAGTGCTGTATTTCGTGTTCATTTGTACGATGGGGTGAATGTTGATAGAGATGAATGTTCACTCAATATTATGGTATTTGATATACATGGTCTATCGGTTTATGATCGAACATTCTCATTCAATCAACAGAATTCGATTAAACTTTCTCTTGATGGTTTACGACCATACCATAAATACACTATTAATATGCAGGTGACAGTCATTAACACTCATCGCTTTTCATATATTTTGATTAGATATTTTGCACTCGTGTAACTTACTGTCATCAGGTTATGTGCGGTAAACCGTCGATGTCGAAGCAGCGTTCTTGTGCAGTCAAAGTTCGATCAATGGAACAGATTACATTCGAAACGAAGCAAGATCGTCCAGGTCCAGTTCAAAACTTAACCGTTCAAGCACTAAACCCATACAGCGTAAAACTGTCCTGGTTTCCGCCTGTGCTTGCAAATGGTCTTATCACTCAGTATACAGTTGAAGTTTATGCAATGGTTAGTTGATGACTGCAAATGAGCGCTTCTTAAACGCTTATGCAAATTTATTCAAATGGTCGCAAGACAATGCTTGTACATATTTCTGAAAATTTTTTGTCTTGTTCTGACCATTTTAATAGCTGATCTTATTATAATTAGTAATTAATATGAGTGATGAACAACTGATGTTAAGGACGGCGGAGTGGAGAGTATTGATTGGTGGTTGAACGTGAATGCTGACGGCTTATCAAAACAGGATAATGATCATCGAATTGATGTTGTAGTCGATAGTCTTATCGGTGGACTGCAATACCGATTCGATGTGCGTGCAGTGACCGAAGCTGGTCAAGGCGATTCTACTGCTGCGTCACACATCAGAATGCCTTTATTAGGTGCATATTTGAATTCATTCACTCAGCCGTTCACATGAATAATTCACTCAAATTTAAGCACCACCACGACCAAACGTTCGAGTCGAAGTTCTTCGTAATACGATTCACAGTAACGATGTGGCTGTACGATATAGTACGGCAATGTTTAGCACAAAACATGGATTATTAAGCAAGCATGCGCTGATCGTTTGCGAAGTGGCTAATGATGGACGACTGAATGAAAATTGGATTGTTGAGGATGGAAATCGATCAGTTAGGGTATGTTACAACCTAATTGATGTCCGACTGAGATATGAATTATGAAACTGACTCATATGGGTCACTTTTGCTGGTTGAATCAACAAGATTTTTTGCTGAGTTTAAAATTTTCAACTCGGAAAGGAAGTGGACATGTAGATTAAAACCGTTCGGATCATTCTTTGAGCGGTAAGTAGGGTCTGTTCTGGAGTACTGTCATTGATACTATACTATACAATACGCAGGGTTGACAACGAACCGTTTAAAATCACTAAGCACCCTCTTCTCTGTAACAGAATTTATCTGTTATACATGCAGTATCAGTTACGGATGCCCACCTCAATACTTTTCAAGCGTCAAGCGTTTTAGATGAGCAATCAAACGAATTGATCACACCAATGTTACGTAAAAATTTACCTCAACTGTCATATTTCACCGAACAAGGAAACAGACTCTTATTCTAACATTATTTTCAGACATGGGCACAAGTTCAACGATTCGACGTATGGCCACCGTACGTTGCTTTGGAGTCACCGATTGAACCAGCCAACAAATTCGTTCCAACTAAATTTATTTCAGAGGTATACATATCATGAAAGTGATTCTTAAATGCAATATTTTATGAATAAGTTTTACGGAAATGAAATGCAGTTAAATAATTGATTCGTATTTTCATCCATAACAACTTGTATGGTGCGTGCGTCTATTTCTGACTCGTAACAACGCAGTTATCTTTGACAGATGATTGGAGTGGATAAGAGATGTAAAAATATGCCGATTGAGACCGTCTGCAATGGACCACTAAAGGCAGCCACTAAGTATCGCTTCAAGTTGCGTATTTATACGTCGTCTAACCTGTGGACTGATAGCGACTTTTCGGAAATCGTTATCACAGGTTTATTACTCATTTCAGTTATTGTTGATGAAGTTCAATAGTCAGTTATTAAGAACGGAACGGAAAGAGAATTTCACTGCAATTGCAAGTTTTATGGCCTACCGGGAACTTAAGTCCTAATCCCAGTAGCCATATCTAAGTTTATAACGAGACAATTTTTTCTCAATTAATTTTCAATTTTATAACTCTTGATTAATTTTCAATCATTTCATCAGTTACGTCGTTTCGAAAAGAGGACAGATTTACTGCAGTGCACCTTTATTCAACCGATACCCAGTCTTGTCATCGCTGAATACCATTCATTACACATCAATAATAAGCGTATCATATGCATAAATCACTACTGAACATATGCATACAGTTGTGTCCCATGCAGAAACAATCTAAAAAATAACGGAATTCCTCTTTGAACAAAGCTAAGAGTAACAACCATATCGGCTCACTCCATCCATGAAGAGTAATATTTATCTATCATATAACATCAGAATAGATAAAATCTTTTAATACATATTATATATGTGATAGCATAGCAACTAACCGCTATTAGACATCATAAAGAACGTAGCGATCACCACCAGTCGAATTGAATATGGCTAGCTGCTAACAACTAACAACCCAACAGCTACGCACGCATTCATTACCTAATATCACTCAAACGAATGTCTCTCCTATCCTATAAATTATATAAGTATCATTTATTTTTGTACTTGTACGTTGTTGGATATGCGTATCATTACTCTAACATTCTGAAATTTTGCACGCCACAGAATTTTTGGTGGAGATTAATACACCCGTTTCTTTCTTAATTTTACCTGTTTTCATTTTTTACAACTGCAGGTAAATTATTTACAGTTGTAATCAGTATGTAACTTTATAAAGATGTACTTTTCACAAGAGAAGTAACTCATATGTGGGGGGGGGGGGGGGGGGGGGAGAAGGGAGGATCGAAGGATGTTTGGACTAATTTAGGAGTTATGGAAATTAATCTTGTATAATCAATCCATAATTTCGAAATACCTGTTTCATCACAAGGTAATGATACATGTATACCACCCACGAGTTCCTGAAAGTTTTTTTTGATTCACTTCTCGAATGTTGCATATAAGAAATAAGAGGGAGAGGGGATGGTAAAGTAGATAGTTGAAAGGGAAATGGTTTTCTTCCATGGGAGACATGAAACTTGAGAGTATGAAAACCACCGAACTGGAGTGTCAAAATTATAACGGTAATAATGTTTTAATGCGCGATTATCTCATTTATTTCCTCTGATTGCTTACCTAAACATTGTATCTCATCAGCGACTGAAAATCAAAAATGTTACGAATTTAGATGCATCCAGACCAGGTCGTCGAGGCTTCTGCTGACTGCCTTGTGCTCCATGAGCTACTAAAAAAATCTCACTAAAAAATCCTTACTCGTACGTCATCAAATTACAAAGCAGTGAATTCAAATATTTCGAGTAGTCTAAATTTAACAAAAGAAAAATAATTTACTCATCCGTGATGAATTGCACAATTAAATCGAATTCCATGCAGTCTTAAATCCAAGGTAATTCTTTCCCATTTTGTAGTTAAAAGAAGTGTTGGTCAGGGAGCAGGGTCTCCGGTGGGGACCCCGTTCCCCTACAGTTCCTCGACAACTTTTCTCCCTGACTTTTCCCCCGTGGGCAATTCGCTTCTCGACTTTTTTGTCGGGGTCCTCTTCTATCCACTTTACTCCCCAGCGGCGCCTTCTCTCGACCAAAAAGTTGCTCCGCGACGAACATCACTTAAACCCGTTTCAGGTGTCCGTTTGTAGGTCTCACCACTTGTTTTCGGAGAGTCTGCTGTGATTAGCTTCACATATCTTTCTACATCCGCTGAATGAACAAGGCATTCGGGGATTCAATATGCTGGATTCTGTTTCCAAACAGTCACTTGATATCTCCTTTATCTTTCTGTTCACAAGCATAATCAAGCAATTTCCATTCACCTTCCTCTGAAGTCCTTCGTTAACTTCTTGTGGTAATTCCAAATCCTTCTTAGAGCTTCCAGTCTAACAGTGTCAGCTGGTGTGTAATCCTGAAGATCGCAAACCTCAAAGTCAAAAGTTATCTGTATTATTGGTTCTAGAGTAATTTTCACACCATCAGACTGTGCTCTCATAAATTCCACTTTCTCATCAATGAACTCTGAGCATCAACTGTTTTTGCACGGAGAACAATGCCCAAAATGTTTGGAGGCGTGGAGTCGTAAGAGTGATGCTTTACACTTGGAACCCAATTGGGTTTGTGTTAATTGTCAGTAACCTGAAACACAAAAAGGATAAAAAGCCCGGGATTCTCGAATTTTCGATCAATCGTAAATTCTTGTAGCTTTTAAGGATGCTAAAACTACCAAATAGAATCATTTTCTGATTTCATAAAGATAGTTTCATTAGATTCGCTTTCTTGCATCAATCTTTCGCAGAGGAAGTGTTAACCCTACGGAAAAAAATTAGCGAAAAAGAAGGATGTAGCAGGATAGAGACGGCTCGAAACTTTGATCGCTAACCGCGGGAAGACCAGGATCTTTGCAAGTTAGATGAACAGAGCAGAGAGTAGTGCCACGGAATAATAAGAGGCGTCACGGAGCAGACCTGATAGATGTTTGACGAACGCCGAAAAGGTATTATCTCGATAGAGTGCCAACAGACCAAGCAGCTTGGCAAATTTAAAAGTTATTTTTCGAGTCAATCTAACATATATGTGTGAAATCGTTATTAGCAAGGAGTTATGGATTAGTAAATAGGATTTATTCTGTTATTCTGTCCTGTTATTCATCTAAACTCTTATCATATCAGTTAAGAATGACTATAATATTACGTTCAATTAAGAGATCAGTCAATTTGCAAATTGCCGAAATATCCGTACTGTCACAGAACACTGATGTGATCATCTTCTTTCGAAAATTTTTAATAGAACTGATGCGCTGCTACTCCGGCACTATGAAGTTACCATAAATACGAGGATGATTAAAGCTTAGCGCTGAAAGAGTGCAAAGAAAACAATGCATTTTATTGTTTATTTGCTCTTCTTTTGCATCACCCGAGCAGCCCACCCCCCGGTCCCCACCCCCGCCCTCATGCTACCAACGGCCTTGTCGATATATATGCAGAAGAAGCCAGCTGAAGCGAGGTTGCTGCAAGCGCTTTACGTTTGCTCTCCATCTATGTATCACATCACATCTCTACGCATCGCATCTCATTCTCATTTTGTTGATTTTATTATTTGTGTAAAGCAGTAGCAATAAGCTTGAATAAACAGCTATTCTCCCTCGCTTCAACGTCAACAAGCATACGTTTTCTTTTCCTTTTTTTTCACTTCACTTCGTTTCTTTTCCTGTCTTTTCTTCTTTCGTTTATTCGTCATCCACAAGAGGTGACGTTTACTTATTTATTCGATTCGATCAGAATACAACTTTACTTCACACCGATTCGAGCTATTTTCCTGCTAACGATTACCTGGAAATATGCTCATCTCTTTTGATTCAATTTTGATTGTCATTTATGAAGTTTGCTTGTGACTTCAGGTTATGTAATAAGGTAACTTTCTTTGAAGTTTCATTTCAAAATACCCGCTCTAGTATAATATCTGTTATTCAATTTGCACATTATTAACCATATCAATCGAATTGTTCATAACTCATTATTATATATGAGCTAATCGGCTCGTTATGGTTTGCACTAAATTCTCCTTAATCAGGCTCGCTTAAGCTTATTTGTCAGCATTTGTTTCAGCATCCACTCGCAGTCAATATAATCTATTGTGTTTTGCGATTTCCGTTGTTTTTCAATGGAATTATAACCTGAAATGATATGTGAAAAGTTCATTATTAGTTAATATGAATAAAGCCCTCGAACATCTATGAAAAACTGCTCGCATTCGGAGCATTCGAGCCTGATTGCATCCCCAGACCAACCCTTGATTATTAACGTTCTCTTCTTCCATCCAATCAGTCGCTCTCCACATCAAAACCATTTGATTTTGCAAGCATTCTTTGTTTTGTTCAAGCATATCGATCGCTCATTAATAAGTCATGTTGTCCCATTTTACGAGCGGCAATCTCATCAGCCTTGTCATATCTGGTAGTGCTCGTTGTTGAATTCCATCAGCGAGCACTGCTTAGAATTGAAATTTTAAAAATAACTGGAGTATTAGTGATTTTGATTTTTTTTTGCTTTCAGTAAAAGCTTAGCAGTGTAGTAACACCGGCAACTAACTAATTTTTTAATGACCTAAAGAATAAAATTGAAGACGATAATAAGATTTGATAGTGATTTTGGATGAAACAGAATGATTAAACCGTTTTAATTTAATCATGAGCCTATTCAGTGTGAACTGAGTCGCAAATATCACGATCTGTTTCCATGGTGCAATGTGCGTTGATACTACAGATACACTGACAATGACATTTATCATGAAGCATTCAGAACGCTCTTATCAAATGCTTCTTTTAACACTGTATTAGCCCAGTATTATTCTTATCATCTGTTTGACTTGATGCTCTCACATGCTTTGCCGAAAAGATATTCATGTTTCGTTCTCTTGAGAAAACATTCTTAATTGCTTTTTATTCAAAAGCATTCTTAACCATCGTTTATCTTTTATCGGTCGAAGTTGCTGGTTGTGCACAGATCAGTTTTAAAACAACATGAGTTGAAATGGTTGGAATAAGGAGACGAAATGAAGTGAGTGTAGCAGTCAGTAGATGGTTAATAGCAAAACGAATGAGAAATTGTTTCAGTCAAAATTCAACGGAATCCATTTTTGCAATTTCGAACTTCGTCAACCACCGGGTCGGTTACCATCACTGATATTTAGTGAGTGCTTTCAGGAATACTCGTTGAAGTACATTGAATTCACACGCTATCATATTGAATAATATGAATAATCACGTTTCTAGAATTATAAAATTTCCTTCTCTAATCGTATATGCACAGTAAATTAGCACATTGCTAATCTCTTAACTTTCATTCTGAACCTACAATTCGCTCATGTCTTATCTAGCCGTATCCATAAAGAAGTGAAAACGATTGAATTAGTTAAACTTCAATTTATTTTTACAGAATCAGCGCATTCGGTGACAGCTGTTGGAGGTATTCTGATTGCTTTACTTCTACTCTTCATTCCATCACTCTTCATAGCGGTCATCATTTTCGCCTGGAACAAGCATAAAAAATTGTGGTAAGTTTGATTTATCCTTTTACTATTGAAATTATTTGATTCGATTTGAATTACTGATCATTATCACTTATTACCATTACTTATCTTATTTGTGCTATTATTATAGTCAAAGTAATCAAACACTGTTTCAAAGGAACGCCTTGATTGCATTCAGTTTAGATTCGAATAAGGCTTATTGTTAGATGGTTGATACCAATTGTAAAAGCAACATCGATTATAATACATTTTCCATCATTTCTGCAGCAAAACCTATTCCATACGAGATAAACAATTGTAGCAAACAAATCAAATGTCTTGTCATCATTTTAACAACGATCCATCTTCCTTGAATTCTTATCATCTTTCTTCATTCATTTTGATAATTTCAGCATCTCGTTTTGCTCAATTATTATACGAGTAAGCCCCATCGAAATTTCGTTACCTATTCAAAATTCAAGTTTGAAAAATAAATTCAAAATAATTCAAAGATGTAGAATATAAGGTCAGAATTTGTTCCGAATCTGCTTTTTAATGAAACTGTATTTAACATTTCTCCAACTTCTGTTTCAAATATGCTTTCAAACATTCTGAAACTGCTCTCTTGAATAGAACATACTTAAACTCAAACTGAAATACAACCCCATGCTCAGTCTGGGAGTTTTTTTCAGAGCTCTGGCTAAGGCTCAGCAATGCCTTAATAAACCTAAGGCATTGCTGAGCCTTAGTCGGAGCTCTGAAATTTTTAGCCGGAGCTGTGAAAAATTTCGACGGCCTACAACTGAGTTCTGGGGTTTATCATGGGCTCAAGATGTGGGGATTGAACGAAGGCTCACCATAATGCTGAGGCTGAGGCTTATCTCGAATTTAAGTTGAGGTCTTCAACGGAATTTAGGCTAAGATTCACTTGCTTTTGAGCTGAGGTTTGTCCCATTTTTAGGCAGAGGTTATCACGGGGTCAAGTCAAGATTTATCCTAGGTTCAGGTTGGGGCTTGTCAGGGAGGGGAATGGATAGAGGCTCACAATAAAGCTTAGGTTGGAGCCTCCTTCCGAACTCGCACTGAGGCTTACCAGGGTACTCGACTGAGGATTGCCAAAGTGTTTAAGCTGAGGCTTATCCTGAAGTGCGGACTGATGCTTATCCCTAGCTCATGCTGAAGCTTGATTTTCGTCTGATTTATCACTGAGATTGCTAGACTGTCAGGGAGGGGGGGGGGGGGGGGGATCACCACCTAGATTTTCAGACGGAGAGGGATAATGACGGCCTACCATACGTCCATGTGGGGGAATGGGGTACGGAGCATGAGAGCCAATGGCCCATTGGTCCCGTATGCATTTCAAGCATAGGATTGCTGTAGGATGTTTGTAAACGAGCGATAGATTATCGAGGATAAAAACTGAAGGTTACAAAAAAGCAACTATTTAAATGCGTAAAATAAGTGGCGAAATATGTGAAACCGAAAATATTTTATCTCATCGAGAAGTTGTGTTTTTGTGAATGTGTAATTTAAGAAGTTTCATTAATGTGCATGTCGATTCTAGTCACTTTCATTGATTATTCTAATCACTTTCATTGATCCGAACCTATTCGTGTGAAGATTAGGACAGTGAAGCAGTGTGAAAGTTGTGAGCAATTCATTTATTGTTCACGTCGAAAGTTTTCAATTTGAACACCATATTTCTTCCGTCTTGCTGTTCATTATTAAACGAATCAAACGAATCTTGCCGTTCTTCTCAATTTTTAACTGATCCAGTTATATTTTCATCACTTTCACCTTCGTCATATCAGCTCTTAATTGAATCTTATATTTACTTTCATTAAAGTGAAACAAACAGGCTAGGTTTTGAGATGTTTTTATCTGAGTTATTCCCGGTCATATCGATGACTGGTATCAAGAACAAGATTCAGTATCCAATTTTGGTTTCTAGTTGGAAATAGTTGAGAATATTCGTTACCCAAATTATAGCTATCGAATGACAACAAAAGGTGCTTGCCTTACGCATAAGCTGTGGAACACATCAATGAACTCCCTTGTGATCGATTAATCAAGATGTTTTCTGGAAGTGTTCTTTTTTTGAGGAGAAGTAATTTTGGTTATTCATTGTCAGATTAACTCTTCGTTGTATCTTCTTTCATGAAGAAACTGCTTCTTGTGTTTCACCAGACTGATCTCTTCTTGGCAGCCAATAGAGATTATTATTGATTCGCTTACTTGGAACATGCCAATAAGTCACAACTCATCAGCGAACCGCTCTGTGCTTCTTAACTTGTATCAGATAATGCTGCAATTTCAATCGAATGTCATTCTGTCGTCTGTGTTGAATGATCTAATCTATTCACTTATCTTGCACGTCTTTCATATCACGTTTCGGATAAATAGACGGTTCAATGCTAAAACCATCAAATTGAATCAGCACTTGCCGCTTATCTTCACCTTTTTCCTTCTATTTTGTATTGCCTCGCTTCTCATCCACCCGCTATCATTTAATCTTCGACTTTTGAAATTCATTCTACGGCCAGTTCACTTTTAATCTCTTCAACGTTGATTTCGTGTATTACTATTTCGTAGTCAATTCGTTCATCGTATCAACCCACTCGTCATAACAGTACTTATTATTATTATTATTA